ATCATGAATTAAGAATTGATAGTAAATGGTGTTAGCTCTTCTTGGAAGACAGATCCTTACGCAAGAAAAGTTAAGAGTTTTTTTTCCTCTTTTTTTTTACTCTTTGGGTTACACTGATTGTGCTGAATTGGCGCAGGAATTTGTCACGCATCGACTACATGTACATGTCTATCGGCCAGGGGATCGTCGTTGTGGTGGGTTCAACAACTTTCCATATTTTGAGGCTTGTTTTTTTTTTTTAATAATTAAATTATGACTATTTAGTATTTAGTATTTATGAATTTTATGTGTAATTTATTACTTTTGCAATGACCCGACGCCGCTCAAATACCCAAATCGCAGTCATGCAAGTCTCCGAAGTCCACACAACACTCAAACAGCAAAGCACGAAGAAAGACATCAGCCAAAATTCGAAGATATTATTCCAAAATACCAACTTGGTGCAAGTCTCCGAACTCAAAGCTCATGCGGCTATGGCTGCCCAAACTCTCTCCTTCTCTCTTCTCTCTTACTTGGATCACTCACTCTCACTCTCTGAATGCACTCGGCTCTCAACGCTAACGACTATGGAGTCTTCCTTGTCCCTCTCTTGTCCTAGCTATGGCACCCTAGCGCTCGGCTTCTCCTTCAGTATGCCTGACTGGTCACCACAACCGTCGCACAAGCACACAGCAGCACTTTCGCAACGTGCGGATGAACAATTGTGTCACCCAAGCACTACAGCTGCTCAAGTAGCATCCCATTGGACAGGACAATCTTTGTTGGCTCCAGACCAGTAATGGCGTCCCCGGGTCTGTCGGCCACAATTGCCAGGTCACGGAAGCCACGGGGGGTCTTCCTTGGATGCTGCTGCCAAAATTGGACTGGGACTTCGGATTGGACTATTTCTATCGGGTTCAGGTACTGAGCCTACCGGACTTCTAACAAGCTAAGTTATCTAACCACCTACCAGGCCTGAAAAATAGGACGGGATCCGAGAGCCATGGAAAATAGGCTCCACAACATGGGTGATAAGATAGAAAGTGCACTGCTGCAAATTTTCGAGCGCAGGAAAGAAGAGAGTACTTCAAAAGTGCACTGCTTGGCAAAGGAGCTGAAGAGAGAGGTGGAGGAGGGGATGGAGATGGGATGCGAACAAGAAGCCCCAGCATGGGGAGATGAGGGGGACATAAAAAAAACGACTACAGAAACTAAGTTCACAACTTCCCACCAAATACATACGGGGCATTACACACGCCATTAGTAATAAAGTAAGTTACTGCAGAAAAAAGGAAAAGACATCGATGGGGAAACCCGGCCTGGTGAGATCATCCCGTTATGAAGACGGGACTTGGCCAAATTGAGTCTTTAAGAAAAACGACGGGCACACCAATACGGATGGCACATTGATTGATTGCTTATTTGATAGTACTAACAACAATGTGGATGTGAGAGATCAACACAGCATGACTCCTAATCAGTAACCACCTACCCCCCCCCCCTCCCCCCC